TGTCTCCCCATCACGTGGCATTATTGGGCTGACAAAAGAGGCTTTCGTAGCAGTGATGTTAAACTGTAATGTATAATATGTCGCTGTAAATTGATGTCAGTGCCAAAGACATTTATGGTGAATGGCACTTGAATCGACTGGTTTCGGGGATAAAATATCACCATTGTTCATTATGTGCAGCAAGAAAGGAGCAATTTATCATTGAATTGAAAAGTTATACAAAATGTATTTTCACCATTCATTTATGTCAAGTTTTTGTATCTATTTGAGGAGAACAAATCTCTCTTCCATCATTTTTGGACTGAGAACGAGTTTGCCTGTATTGAGTATCAGAATGATATTTTTGCATGGTGTGAAAGGTGAAGTTTAAATGTGAACTCTAGTCTTCGGAGCCAAATTTTGCAGTTCCACGGACGATGGGATGCAAGTGTTTTACACCAGTTGTTGAGTTTGACACTGATTTTTGTAATTACAATTAATCCAATTCTGAGGTAGCTTTCCAGATGCTCTCTTGATACTGCATGCTAGTGTTGAAAGATTTCCTGTTCGATGAAATCTACTTAATGTTTTGACTATGTTATCTTATCTTAGATTTCTGACGACCTATAATCTTGGATGTGTATAATGTGTATACATACAGATTCCTGGCTAACTCTGATTGGCTCCAGCTATTTCAAGACTCTTCTGTAATTCACCTTCCACGTACATATTCGGACCACTGTCCAATTTTATTAAATCTTAGTTAGGCGACTAGCCATCCTAAGAAATTATTCTGCTTTGAAACTATGTGGACTAGTCACCCAACTTTGCTCCATTAGTCAATACTATTTGGCATCATTCCAACACTTATTTTTCCAACGCTTAACCATTTTACTGAAGTTCTTCAAAGTTGGAATACCCAATGTTTCGATAATATCTTTTGCAAAAAACGAATCCTTCAAGCTCGTTTTGCAGGTCTCCAGAAAATGGATCCAAATCACAAATCTGCTTTTCATATAGCTTTGGAAGATAATCTTATTCAAGAATTTAATCTCCTTTTAAAGAATGAAGAAGATTTTTGGAAACTCAAATCACGAGTCTAAAATCTTCATGACGCGGATGCCAATACAAAATTTTTAACCTTTCTACAGTTCATCGTCGAAGAAAAAACCGCATTATCGGGCTTAATGACACTGTAGGTAATTGGACCTTCGACCAATCTACCATCAATGACATTATTATCACTCATTTCCACAATCTTTACACTACCGAAGTTCTACTAAGCCTCAACCAAGTTGCCATCCACGCACCCAATGCTCTTACAACTGCTGTGTCCCAACAACAGGCCCGACCCCTCGAAGATATTGAAATTTATCAAGCAATTCAATCTTTCCAACCTCTCAAAGCTCCTGGACCGAATGGCTTTCATCCTATCTTCTTCCAGCAATTTTGGAATGATCTACAACCCGCTATTCTAAAACTATGTCATGATGCCTTTGACATTTCCTTTATTCCTCCTTTACTAAATCAAACGCATCTCACTTTAATACCTAAGGTCAAAAGCCCCGAACGGATAGCCCAATATCGCCCAATTGCCCTCTGTAATACTAGCTATAAGATCATCACTAAAATCATCGCCCATAGACTTCGGCCTCACCTTGATTCCTTTATTAGCCCATACCAGAGTAGCTTCATTCCCGGACGACGAACTGTTGACAATGCTATTATTGTTCAAGAAGCAATCCACTCTTTCCATTCAAAAAAGGGTAATCAGGGTCGCATGCTTCTTAAAATCAACCTTGAAAAAGCTTTTGACCGTCTCGAATGGTCCTTCATTCGATACGCTTTATCCAGTTTAAATTTTTCTCCTTCCCTTATTAATCTCATCATGAACTGTGTCTCATCCGCTACTATATCTATCCTTATAAATGGACAGCCTACCCCATTCTTTTCTCCAACGAGAGCCATCCGTCAAGGAGATCCTTTATCTCCATATTTGTTTATCATCTGTATGGAAACTCTAACTTGCATTATCAAACTCTCTATTGCTAATCACGAATGTACACCTCTCAAATTATCCGCAATGGCCCTCTTCTTTCTCACCTTCTTTTTGCCGACGATTTAATCCTTTTTGCGGAAGCTACTCCAGCAAATGCTGTTGCAATCCATAAGGTCCTCCAAACATTTGGTACCTTGGCAGGACAAAAAATCAATAATAACAAATCCAGCATTGTCTTTTCACCAAATACCCCCCAAAGCGTCCAAGATGATATATCTGGCATTTTAATATGCGTTCCTCTTATCAAGTTGGTAAATACCTTGGACTCCCAATCACCAGTCTTCAACCTAAGAGTGCGGATTATCAATATCTCATTGACCAAATGAACAATAGACTGCAAGGATGGAAGACCAAATTTCTCAACCTTGCGGGTCGGACTACTTTAGTTAAGTTTGTCCTTGATTCCATACCTACATATGCAATGCAATATACTTTACTTCCTGCCACAATTACTAACTACATTGATAAAATTCAACGAAATTTCCTATGGGGCTCCACCACAACTAAACGTAAAATTCATCTTGTTAGCTGGGAACAAGTTACACTACCTCGTGCCTATGGTGGATTGGGGATCCACAAAGCCAGGGGTAAGAATTTAGCTCTTATTGCTGGATCAGCTTGGCGCTTTCGCCGCCATCCCAAATCCCTGTGGGCCCGAGTCATAAATGCTAAGTATAATCTCCCCTCTTCAAATTGCACATCTATTCTTCCACGGCGAAGAACCTCCTCCACTTTGCGAGCTCTTCTTCAAGGTAACTCTTGCCTTGCGCAAGGCCTTAAATGGCACATCGGCAATGGCACAACCATTAACGTCTGGAACGACATTTGGCTTCCAAATAATTCTCGGCTTCGCAATCTTATTTACGGTCCTTTAACTCATACTGAGCAATCTCTTACACTAGATCACCTTCTTCATAATAGAAATTGGAATACTAGTGTCCTCTCCTTTGAACTATCCCTAGATATCTCACTTCTCATCCATAATACTTACTTTAATCCCACTTCATCATGCAATGATGACTTTGTTGGTTTCCAAACAATCCAGGTTTCTTTTCTGCTAAATCTGCATATCGTTTATATCTTAACACCCGCAGCAACATGCTTGCTAATCCACCAAATATTCAATGGGTTTGGTCCCTCCATATCCCACCTAAAATTCAAACGTTTCTTTGGCTAGTACTTCTTAACAGACTGCCAATGCTATATACCTTTCATTTATTAATATGCTTCCCCACCCTTTGTGTCATTCCTCTCCTACTAAAATCGAATCCCTCCAACACTTATTCTTTGAATGCATCAATTCTCATACTGTATGGAACTTCTTCCCTATTAACTTGCATGCAACATCTTTCTCTGAATAGCTTAAAGAGCAGTGTATATGTATCCACCTTCCATTTATCTACCATGGAATTGAAGTTCCGACAGCTCAACTTGTTCCTTTCCTTCTCTGGCACTTCTGGACTACTCGCAACCATAACCTTTTCCACAATTTACATGATCCTATATCGGTAAATATATTATGTTCCATGTGATAGAATTTCACTATCTAAGAATACCCCCTGCCTTACCTCGTATAACGACTACTCAGTATATTAAATGGCACCCTCCCACGCCATATTCATTTAAATTAAATATTGACGGTGCCTTTAACTCCGACACCAAAACTGCGGGTGCTGCGGGAGTGTTTCGAGACCATCAATGTCAATGGATCCGAGGTTTTACTATGCACCGCATTTGCTCATCCGCACTTGAAGCAGAACTTCATGCTTTGTCGATAGGATTGCAAATTGCCCAGGACTTTCATTTCTATCCACTACAGATAGAAATAGATTCCCAGGTACTGCAAATGATGATTGACACAGGTTCTGATCTCTACTTACCTCTTATTTTGGATTGAAGGTTATTGATGATACAACTGCGACAACCGGAATTTAAGCATATCTATCGCGAAGCAAACAATGTAGTGGATCTCCTGGAAAAACATGGCATGACCTTAGCTCTTTCTATTGGCCAACACCGTTGTCATCCACTACATTACGACGAACCACCGCCTTATGCTTTACTAACTTTCAATAAATTAAAGACTGTTAGAACACTTGTATAAGAAGAACAGTCCCCTTATGCAAACTTTACTACATGTCTTTCATAGCTTTTAATAATATTTTCGTTTTAGCAAAAAAGAAAAAAAACGATAAATTTGCTTTTTCTGGTTTTACAGATTCTTGTTTCATGCTAGTATGTTTGTCCAGCGATAATCTGGATATAAAATTAGGCTTTTACAAATAAAGTGACAATGGTTCCAGTTAAAGAGGAGACAACGTCAAATGGGGGAGCATGTGAAGCCAAAGGTGAAATAATGATTGAACTTTTCACCCGAAAAGTTATTATCACTTACTAGATTCACCTTTCAAGCTTGATCAACACAAAAAGTTCAATCCAAAAGGCAAATGACTATTATTCGTATTAAGATATGACAGATATCAATATTCTGCTTTTACTGCTCGCAATGATTTTTCTCTCAAACGAGAATCAAATGTGAACTCATTACCTCTCAAGCATATTAACACACCATCAAATTTCTCTATAACAACCTTATTTATTTCGATATTTTTTAATTGATGTAGTGAAGTGTTGTTATAAAAAAAATATATATTATAATATAACCTGAAAAATTGGTTCCAAAGCAAACTTGATCATTATAGTGAAGTGTTGTTATAGATATGTATGACTGTACTTTCAATCAAAACAAAATTTGATAAATTTTTTCATTGATTTACGTCTGCCTATTAGGACAACACAACGTCAAAGTTTCCATATCATTTTAAATACAAATAAGGATTATATCAAATATGCAATAAGATATATTGACATGCACTTTATTAGAGGGCAACAATAAGTAATGACGCAAAACAGAAATAATAAAACTTGACGGGCTTTCCTTAAGGATTCTTGAAAAGTTGGGGATGAAAGTTGAAAGTGGAGAGTACATTCACTCTCCCTTGAGCGCGTGGCGAAACCAAGCAAAGTATCACAAATCAATCAATTAATCAAAATCCTCGTTGGATCTCTCCTAGTTGCAGAGTTTATAGACGCACAAAAGACATGCTCAGCTGAGAATATCACCGGAAGTTCACAGTAAACAGGCGGAGGCGGCGCGTGACTGTTGTTGAATACCAAAGCGGAGATGCCGGAACATCCTGCTACTGACTTATCTGCCACCGACAATATTGGAACTGTCAAACGCTATGCCCCTCCCAATCAGCGGTATTCATAATGATTTTTATATATGTTCACTGTTTCTAATTCCGGACTTGTTTTATTGACTTGCTAAATTTGGACGTGCTTATTGAATTGATTTCGTCTGATCTTTTCCTTTTTACCAGGAATCGTTCACTCGGCAGGCGAAAATCTGGAGGAGGTAACTACTTTTGATATAGCTACAAGTATAAACTTTTAGCTACTTAGGGAGTATTACTTTTTGTTAATTGAGATTATGTTAAGCTTACTGCCTTAATTTACGTGTAATATACTGTTATGATCAAGACAAATATCATGTAAAAGTTTATATTTTAACAGTGTAGCTCTTATGATGAGTACCGTGTTCATCTTTTAACAGTGTTTCTGAAATATCTGATGGTGTGATTAATGGCCCGTTTGGCCAAGTTGCAAAAATCAGCTTATTTTGAGAAGTGCTTTTTCTCCAAAGTGCTTTTCTCAAAAGTACTTTTGGTGAGAAGCAGTTTGTGTTTGGCTAATTAGTTTGAAAAACACTTCTGAGCAGCAATTAGTGTTTGGCCAAGCTTTAAAAAACTGCTTCTAAGTGTATTTTTCTCAAAAGTGTTTCTCAAAAAAGTGCTTTTGGGGAGAAGCTACTTTTTTCTGCTTCTCAAAAACTGCTTCTGCTTCTCCTCAAAAGCACTTTTTTTCCTTCCAAAAGCTTGGCCAAACACCTCAATTTTTGGCCAAAAGTGCTTTTGGCTAAAAAAAAAAAAACACTTTTGGCCAAAAAGAAGCTTGGCCTAAATGGTGATCGTACATAAAAATTTTGTCTGTGGATAGTAACAAGTTTGACACTGGAAAGTTTTGAAACAATTGTGTAACTCTGGAGGAATACAGGGTCCTGGAAAACAGCTCGTTTCCGATAAAATCAGCTAATTCTTGTGACGTGCGGATGCATTATAAGGTTGTTTCCATACCAGCTGCCAATCAGTGGAAACTGGTCTTTTATTCTAGCACTTTAAAGTTGATTGCTTGAACTTAATTCCAAATGTTGCTCTCTTCTTATTATCGTAGCATCAGCAAAACATGAAGCTCAATAGTTCTATTGATCTTTAGAATAGGAAGCCATTTTCATTTTCCTTTTGGTCACAGGAGCCAGTGTACAGGATTTTATAAGCTTTTCTAAGGACTTTCTGTTATTGCGTGTCTTTAGCTGTTATCAACTAGTAGAACTGAACCTTCTTTAAGGTTATACATGGTAGATTAGTAGACACCAAAAGATGAGCCAATGTTCGTCAGCTGGAAGAACGCAGGGAAGGGTAGATAAACTCCTAAAACCTGAGTTGATTTATTGACATAGAACGAAACTGAAAAAGAGTGTTACACTTTCAACTGGTTAACTAGCTTTTTGTGATGCATGGACAGGCGAAGTAGGAATGCTGGCATTCTTTGCCGATGGATATTCGCTGGATTTAGTCTTTCTAAACTAGAAATCTGGATCGACCTTTTTCTGATTGTTTATTTTACAGATCGACTTGAACGAGCTAACAGCTACGCTAGTGATGGAGAGAAGAACCAAATCAGTGTCTCTAGTTCTGTATCTACTGTAGCTGATGCAAGTGGTGTCAATCGAGCGAATGAGTATCCTCCAGCAAGGTTAATACCGCTACAAGGATGTGGTACAAGTGAAGCTTTTCAGCTACTGAATGATCGTATGTTTCTTAGATTAAATCATGAGCTCCTAGTTTTATCAATTCTATTATCTATATAATCACTTTTATCTCAATAACATTGTCATACCTTAAATATCTTTTTCAGCATTCCCTTTTTCTGATGCCTTTTCGTGCCATTTGGTTATTCAGATTCAATTGTTTTTTCTGTTCAGTCTTGTTTGTGTGTATAATATTTTGCTTTGTGCATTCTTTCATTTTCTTTGTCATCAACACCAATTTTGAGCTCTCTATGGATGCTGAATTCGTACAGTGAAATATTAGAGATCAATGGTGAATTGGCTTTGATGTGATTCTTCCATCATTTACGTGCATGTACTGGTGCTTTTCAAGTTATTTTCTTTACTTTAGCCTGTTTTTCTTACCAATCCTTGTGGACCTAATAGTTGAAAAAGACAATGTACATATCAAAGAGTAGTAGACTTTATAACTTTTTACTTATTGGAATCCCCTCGATTATAAGATGCACTCGGTCTTTGGTGTGGCACTTTTTCTATTGAATTATCTCATCTTGTATAATCCTTCTGATGAAAAGCATACCCTTTCAACTTGCTTGAGGTGATTTGAAGTGAAAGTTGTCATTCAAGATGAATTTAACGTAGAGTACTATCATATGTGTTGTTTTGTAATATAACATTTTGATGCACAGTCCCCGTCATCCTCATTTCACAATACACAGCCTGACTTTGTGTATATCAAGAAAACACCCAATTATTTCATTTACTTTGTATATATTAAGGAAATGGCCAATTAATCAGGTTTAAGAGGAAAGAGTTAATTGCTGCTTCTGGCTATAAGAAACTGTCAACAAAGGAAACAACAAGAACAAAACTTCAATTCCAAGTTAGTTGGTGTAAGTTTTATGAATCTTCACTAGTCATTTCACTCCACTGAGACTTGGTCTGAAAAAACTGTCAGCAATAGCGCGGGAAAAAAATATTAAGATAAAGAAATTGCAAAAAGCTTCAAAAATTCAATCGCAGGCGGTGGAACACCAAAGTAACATCATGCGATTTAGTAAATTCTAGATGTGTTTGTCCCAAAGAAAGAAAATTCTAAATGTACCATTTTCCCCTTGGACCTGCAAATCTGCATGAAATTGAGTGCTGAACCATATATTCTTTGTTAACCAACTTTCAGTCTTGTGTATTAAAATCGGTATGATGCCTCTAGTCACTATGATCAAGAAGTCACAAGTGAGACAATGAAGTTTCCTCTTTTTTGATAGGCTGGGCGGCTGCTCTGAATGCTCACAACAATTTACCAGATGATTCTATTGGTAAGAGTTAAAGAATTCTCTTATGCTAATCAATCTGATTTCTTCCTTGATTTTCAGTGGTTTTCTTTAATACATGAGAATTTACCCAGGAATACCTTTTGCCACCTTTCGCAATTTGAATTATTGTTAGAACTGAATATTTTGTGAAAATATATATTCACTACATAATGTATCCATTCATGCTTCTTTCGAAGTAAACTTCATTTACTCTGAATCAAGTCTGGATGGTGGTATGTTGAACACTTCTAAGCCTGGAAAGAGTCTGAGCTTTGTTTTCTAAATACCATGCACCTCCTGGGTGCTTTAAAAGTAATAAAGTTGACCCTTATTCATACACAAAAATATAAGTGTTAAACACTTCGAAGGCTATGAATGTCTTCTCTAGGATAGTTGAATCCTTAAGTTCATGCTGGTAGTAACGCCCAGTTTCAATGGCCTGGATTTTATCCTTTGTCATCTAATATAGTAAGTAGTAATGCCAATTGCCAAGTTTTGATATCCTTGAGTCTAAACTATCTTGAGAGCAATTAGATGGATTTGCATTTCCCAAAGGACATCATTCTACCACTTTGATTTGAGTTACTTCTTTGTACTGTCAGCACATTCTTGTGAAACTGCAGGAAGTGATGCTTTTGTTGTTGTAGCTCTCAATGTTGAAGGTGTGCAGAAATTATTTAATTTCTATAATCTGTTTTTGGGTTTAAATATCAATAACATAATCTGTTTGAGTTGATTGACTTTTGATTAATGGTATATTGGTAACTAAGATTTAACGTCTATGTCAATGGGCGTAGATCAGAAAGAATTCCCAGGAGACGTCGAGCATAAGTGAATCTCTCACTTCTAGTTGTTGTGAATTTATATGATTTCTCCAATTAGCATTAAGAAAAACAAAAAAAGATAATTTCTCCATCTATACCTGTAGTCACAACTAATTTGGCTATCTTTCTGTTTACCCAGAAAGGCCAGTCATGTACACGAAAAGATCACCCTGGGGGCAAGCAATGCTTCCACATCAAGTAAGAAGCAGTCTACCGATTCTCTCCCCCTTCCCCTCCTTGGTGTCATCTCTCCATAAATACTGACATTCATCTTTTGCTTTCAGTTAATGTCACAAGCAGGAGCTGGATCTTCTACTGGGTCACACAAGGATTTTTTAAGTGAACTTCGGGTGGCAATGCTCAGTGCAAATGCCATTTCTGATGCCTAATTATTACCCATCAAATGTCCAAAACTAAGTTATGCAGTTTCAGAAATCTTTGCACTGCAATGTGTTAGATACCTCTTGTAAGCTATCATCAATGCTGAATAACTACTTGATATTTAATCTGTTTGAGAAAGACAATGTGTATCATTAAATTGGCAATTCTGCACCCTTCCACATTTCTGTCTTTACGTTATTTGCTAATTCTTCGATGAATGCGACTTCTAATATGCCTCTGATGAATAGTATAGATGCGTTTAAATAAATGAGAAGAACCCTCCTACTGCGCCAACAGCATTTAAAAATACAAATCGATGTTGGTAAATGCAGTTTGTGGGATAATGGTACTTTATACTGATGACAGGTGCAATAAATAGTAGACATAGTAAACTAAATATTTTAATTCATTGAACATCAAGCTGGCGAGGGAATATATACAAAAGAACCCTACCTCAGCTTAGTGACAGCACAGTATTTATTAAGAGGAACTAAAATCTAAACTGTTTTGCAGAATCTAGCACTATTATCATACATCTGATTCTAGAAGATTGAAATTTTCAGCTAGGATATTACAAGATGTAAACAACCACTAGCGAGTCTGAGAAGGAATGAATAGGTCCAAGGTTCTTCCTACATCAATTAGTTGGAAAGGCCAAATCACATACTTCTGAGGAGATCTGACTGATAGAGATTGGTTTTTTATTACTTGACTCGAGACCTCAGTGATGGATTGGATTTTAGACCCCACTTGTGGGATTCCACTGGGTTGTTGTTGACTCGAGACCTCAGTGATGGATTATATCCCAGTTTTACAATCTCAATCACATGGATGTAAGTGTTAGCTAAACCCCATGTGGAGAGAGGTCTCTGCAGCCATGTACAGACTCTGGTGATCCTATAGTAAAGCCATCATCAGTTGAATCTCTAGCAGCCTTTTGTGCTTTCTTCTTTTTCACCTTCTCAGCCCATTCTATAAGGCAAGCTTGAACATGATCATCAAACATTGACTTCTTATAGTGACTGCCCATCTATAAATTCATGTCCAAAAACGAAAAAAAGAATTTAGGAGAACATAAAGGTTTAAGTTTCGAGTTTAAGTTATGCATACTGTCGTCCGTCAATGTAAGAATTTTCTACACCATCAGGTCATCTTTACCTGTTGTAGCAGGCAACCTGTCTTATTTTCAAGATTACAAATCTCATATTTTAAGGAAGCTTATCTGTTCATATTATTTGGGTGACCTCATAGTGTAAATTTGTTTTACATTGACGGTGTGTATAACTTTAAACTCTTAAGTTTCATAAATGGAATTCAAACTTCTTGCATTAACTTTTTGAGTAAAATCTCACCTGTGTAACTAAAGCATAAAGTGGCAATGTACTATAGCTGCATAAAACCTGAATGAACACCCTGAAAAAGATGGAAAAAAACCTTCAAATATGAACACACTGATAAATCAGATATAATAAGGAAACTGAAAGAAAAAGGTCAAGAAATGCAAGAAAATTTGCCCCAAAGAGTGAAATATAAACTGTGGGAGTTATAAGGTATAGCTGATAATGAGTATAGCAATCTACCCTATGACAAGCCGAGGGGTAACGAACACGTATTTTCCCATAATGCAGGAGTAAAAGCCATACTGGAACTACAGAGAAAAAGAAAAACAATGAAATTAGAAGAGAGCATTTAACTGTAATAAACACTGAATTGAATGGTGTGTTTGATTAGCTTACCAAAATCCAGAAGAAAAATGCTATTTCAAAAGCATTTTGGAAGAGAATAAAATGTATCAAGAAGAGGACGATTTGAGGGCGATCGAACCAAAAGTGACTATCAGAAGGTTGTACAACCAATTCACCTTCTACTGCTACATGTTTCTCAGCAATCTCATGAGCTAACTGTATAATCACATGCTCCAACTTTGTGCCCACAGCAAGCAGAAGCTGAAAAACACGAAATGAAGAACGAAAAGACAACAGAAATCAAGTCAGGTTGTTGCTGCAGCACAAGCTTTGTAGTGTAAAATAAAAAACAAACAGCAAAAAACACACACGGAAGTAAAAGACTTTCATGTTTAATGCTCATTATAACGATTTAAGGCTCGATAGAGATGTTGACTAGTACTTTGATCATAACTTGAACACAAGTACAGGCAACTATCAGGAAAGGTGATCATGTCCTGAATATTAAATCATAAAGTTCTGATAAATAATACATAGCTTTGGAGATTAGGCGTGCTTGTTTGGATGGTTGTTACCTGTTGTATCATATTGTTACTTTAAATATTATGTTTGTTTTGATTGTTACTTAAAATTTTATTATATCGCATCGTTAAATACGTCGTTACTTAACGACGAAAAGTGCCACTTGATCGAACGACTGATTTGGTGTGGTCGCGTCGTTACCTTATTTGTTCTCTCATCTTGCCCTTCCTTACTATTAAATAATCTTGCTTTATCCTTTGCCCTACCTTTTCATAAAATAATTCTACCTCGTACCTTGATTTTCCTTATAAAATTGCAAGTTTATTCTTTATATTGTTGGTGCATGACATCATGAAGTGACGGCAAACAATACAATCTATCCAAACATTGTATACATCAAAACGATATAGTACAATATAATACAAAACTATACGATACATTATAAAACGATACATAAAAACCATCCAAACAAGCTGTAATTCAAAGCTCAAAACATTGGAAAAGTTTATGTTGGGGTCACTCACAATGAAAGGAATGAAAGCAATCCAGAAATAGGTGTGCCAACCTGCAAAAGCATAATTATTTCTCAAGGCGAACAGTACAAATGATATCATAACAATGGCAAGGTGAACATGTCTATTCGAAGTTTAAACTGGCATACCGTTAATATTAAGCAACAAGAAGAGGATTACGAATATCCAGAGATACCAACTACAACAAACAAAAGCAAAGAGTACCAGTTAATTTGAAGAACCAGCAATGAGAAAGAATGATTTAAACTCTTTTTAAGAGCTGAAGAGGAAAACGTTAACGAGCTTTAGCATCATCCTGTCACTTATACCTGATACCGACAACTGTTCTAAAATCGTCTTCCAGTGCACGTATCATGTACCTGTGGAAATTGAATCTTGGATTTCCCCTGCAATGTGTCTACACAAAGAATATGTTTTTGCTACATTATAAGCTAAGTAAAAGCGCACAAAATACATGGTAAAACAAGAAACCAGTATCTCATAAGTCACAACTCAGTCTGGCAAAAAACACATACTTACCATTATGAATCCCAAACGAAGTGCTCTATAGTCTTCCTTGTTCACAGAAGCATAAAATTGCTTAAAGAAAGAATGCTGCAAATTTTCACCAAAGCAAAGTAGTAAAACTTATGACAATTTTATCAAAAGACAATGACAAATAATATACAAGTAACTACATGTCGTCCGCCTTCTTTATCTTTCTTTCTTACTCATGAAACTACATATCTCAGATTTCTCTTGTTTTTATCATTCAAGTTAGCTCAATATGACGTTTGTCACAAATAAGGACCTATATTGACTCTCCAAAACCTAAAATGACGTAAAGACCTTTCCCTAAGGGCTCGTTTGGTACGATGGATAAGGGATAATTAATCCTGGGGTTAAATTTGAGATAGGTTTATCCCACGTTTGATTGGGATAAATTTGCCGTATAACTAATCCCGGGATTGTAGTGTTATTTTTATTCCTAAGGAAGGGTGGGATAACAATTCCGGTATGACTAATCCCGGGATAATTAATCTTGGGATAACTTGTTTCCCAATCAAACGACCCCTAAAAGTTTCTGGAAAGGAAGGTTTTTTGCATGTGTACAAGTACTAAGATGTGATATTGTTTTCTAGAGAATGGCCAACATACTTATTAGGGAAGGAAGGCGCTTACCACCCAACCTAAAATGGCTGATTGTTTACCAATACCCTGAAACCGATTCCTAATGAAATCATGTTCCTGGACATGGGTAACTGATGGTCTCAGATGATCTGCAAAATGGCGCATACATGTTTAAATTGTAAGAACTAATAACATACAGTCGAGATGTGATGCACAATGGAAGTAACATTATGTATACCATGCTCCGACTCATAATTATCTTTTACGATTGAATCCTCCCAGTACTTCCATTGACGTATCTATACCATTATTAAAAAGACAAGAAGTCAGTTAGCCAATATTGAAAAATAATTGAAGCAGAAGAGTTTAGTACTGACCTTTGCTCCTCCAAATACAATAGTCAGAACAGAGAAAGTCACATGCACAGTAGCTAAGACAAAGATAAAAATGTGAAGGTGATGCAATGCCTCAAGAGATAGTAACGGGACCTTATGCTGAAAATAAAAATGAAAAGAATTATTAGTAAAATGCAACGCAAGATCGACTATCACAAATTAAACTAAAGTTTGAAGTCATAGTCTACTATAAAAAGGAAAAATTGCTATACATATTTCAGAACCAGAATTGAACATTAGTGTTTAGCTTTAGCATCAAGAATTAACAAAAGCTAATTTTGACAGCCATAGGTAATATCACTCAAATGCAGTTAACATAATATCATTCACAGCTCGTGTTACTCTTAATCAAGCTGGACCAAATTTTGGTTAGTTTTGGTACAATACAATGCAAGTAGACTGTGATGTCCATGACGGAGGGCGGACTGACTAGGGTTGGTCAAATAGGACTGGCAGGCTTCTACACTGGCAAGCTTCTGAAGAAGGGGCGCACGTGTAACCTTAGGCGAATCTCACATCGGAATGTGAGAGGTAAGTGAAGAGCTTTATAAGGCATGGCACAAGTTCACATGGTACGTGTGCTTTTGGGGCTCAAGGTGGGTAGCCCGGAAGACAAATCCGCGCGGGCCTAGGCCCAAAGTGGACAATACGTACCATGAGCTTGGGTCGTGACATAGACCTAGCAGGATTACTCAGAGTAGGAGAGATACATTATAAATCCATGAAAGTTACAACACTATTTTCTTTTTTCTTTGTATAGAAGTCGATTACATAACTTCTCTTTTATTATGACAGATATCAGCAAAAGCAAAGTAAGTGGAAGTAAGAGGAAGATAAAAGCAATGGACTAGAGTACTTTGTGATGGCAGTAACCAATAGCAGCCGCTTCTTCTACAAGCAAATGGCGATGGTGATGTGAATGCGGACTAGCAGGAGTCGATTCATGAGACGAG